TAAGCTCCTAGCTGCCGACATATATATACATCTGGACAAGAATGTATTTTTTGTATTTTTTTTTGAAAGAAAAGTTGCATATGTAAGCTATCTATTTATAATCTTCAACTTTATCAGGAGTTTCAAGAAAAGGGGGCCTGGGGGGAGGGGGGGAGGGGGGGGAGCTGGGGGGGGGGGGGGTCGATTGAAGTCTAACTGTAAATATAAAAAAGATCGAGATGTGGTATGATTGCCAATGAGAAAACTCTCCAAAAGAGACCAAATGACACAGAAATTAAGAACTATAGGTCACCGTACGGCCTTCAACAATGAGCAAAACCCATACCGTAATTCTCTTCTATATTCATTATAATTTCATAAAATTATACCAATAAAACCTGTTTAAGACAGACTTGGTCATCACTGCGGCTCAAGTGATATCGATGACGAATATCATTATATCATGACTTGTAAAGCGTTGGATGTAGCTATAGAGAGACAGACAGGACTCTTTATAGTTATCGTATATGCACATAGGACGAATGTTTGTATTCGTTGCAAGCTGTTTATTTCAGTGGTAAATTTTGGTAGATTTTAAAAACGAACTTCGAGAGATATTTATCATTTAAAACAATAAGGGCACGTGTCACTGATTACACAATTACTCAGCCGTAAATTATCCAATTAACAAAATTGATAGGATTATCCTTATTGCTTATGAAAATCATGTTATTAAAACAGTGTTTTGAATAAAATTAGATCATACACGTTATACGATACTTTGAAGTTGTTTAGGAATTGTTTCATGTTGTTAAATTTACTTTATGCGTTGTGCATTTTTACGATTGTGAAGAAAAAATAAAAAAACTCACTTTCACTGCATTTTGATACAGTTTCTCTTATGATCTTTGCCTGGTATATATTTCTTGCATGTAGAGATATTTCTAGTATCACACTGCACGCATGGAGTGTGATACGGAAATTTTTTACGCAAAACTTAATTTCGATTATTAGAAAAATACCCAAATATGATGAATGACAGAAACTGAGAGGAAAACGGGGAAAATTCAATTTCAGAATTGATCTAAATACCGTATGCATCAAGCTACTTAAGTTAAGGTTTGTTCCAAACGGACGGATTTTTTTACATGTCCTATGATAAATTACGATACAAAACAAAATCTTGCTTCATGAAAATAAAAGGGAAATGTTTTGGAGAAATTCCTTCATCAAATTTTATTTCCCTTTTCAAACTCGTTCGAAGAATTTATTACTGGGCATGAGAACGAGCTCTAATTTTAAATGGGGGAATGAATCTGAAATTTGAAATTAGAACGTATATATATTTTTTTCACAAATAGGCTATCGCAATAAAGATAAAAGCGTAATAAAATAACTATTTCAGAATTTTACTCGTTCATGAAATGTATTACTGGACAAGAATGAGTTTTAATGGCGAAATATGTATATTTTTTTAAATAAAATTTGCATATGTAAGCTGTCTATTAATAATGTTCAACTCTATCAGGAGTTTCAAGAAAAATTGGGGGAAAAAAAACGATTAAGACTATGCAAAAACAATCTAACTTGCGAAGCCTACTTTGGTATTCTATACATCAAAAATAGTGATTCTTTTGTAGATTTAGAACTTTGAACACAAAAATGTCTAATGAAATTGGTAGATGGCAAAATAATCAGAGAGAACACTTTATTTATACTTTATGTAATTCCGGTGATATTGAGGACGATTTTCATTATGTTTTAGAATGTTCGGCAATAGGCAAAAGTAGACAAACGCTGTTAAAACGGGGTTTTGATCCCAAAGGACGCTACATTTTGTAATGAATTCGATCTATTTTTTTTAACGTTTTCAAATGAAATAAATTGAATGGAAAATTTTCCGACATTGTGATGATTTCTCAATTGGCTTCAATTACTACAAAGTTGAAACAAAATGAAAAGTTTATTTAACATTTTTGCAAATACAATAATATGTTTATTATTTTTCAAAGGAACCCTTTTTTGTTTGTTTACCGAGTTTACTTGTATGTGTTTATTACCATCACTAATCACAATGACATACCTACTTATAAAAGATCAAATGACCTAATCAACACGATAATTGGTATTGAATATGATCATCTGCCGTGCATAACAAATAAAAAAAAAAACGTCGCGTGCCGATAAAAACTTCTCAAATATGGAATTGATTTTATCAAAATAAAAAGTATAAGATCAATTTTAAATAATCTATCGAATGCATACCCTTAACGCTCACTAAAACATCTATTACATGTCCTGAGTGCACTTTTGATGTCCTGAGCGGTTTTTAGACGTATCGCATTTTTACTGGAATATTGCTGTAAATTTTATATCAAAAGAAACACTATTAGATTCTATACTATATTCATACAAAATTAATGGTTTATTAAGTTCAGACTCTGAATTGAGACAGCATTATCGATCATCTTATATAAAAATAATCTAAGTTTCTACAAATAATACAGGTAAATCGGTCCTACAAGCTAAGTGAAGTCAAGTTTTCACCTATGTGCATGTTCTCTATATAGGTATTTGTCGTTGTAAATATATATTTTCTCTGTAACTATGAAATGTAGTTTTATGAGAATAAAGTTAATTCGTTCATTAGAGTATTTTTTTTTAGAATATCTGATAAAATAAATACACACAAACACAAGGAAATAGTTACAACAACACAGAGTTTATTAATTAGGGTTGACATCTGCTGACAGGTAAGTGTTTGATAATTCCAGAGAATTTATGACAATACCCTGCACCCCTTGGCTTGCCATGCACTCAAACAGAGGTATGGCTTCCCTGACCGAAGCCCCCCTCATATATAAACAATAATTTTAAAACGTGATTATTTCATTAATCATGGATACAAGCTTCAGTCAACCAGGTTCTCAACCAACTCATTTTAATCGCGCTATATGTACTATTGGATGTTTATGTTGTGCCAAACTGATCGCCCACAACGAGGCATGCAGCTGTTGGAAACCTGTCCCTACATCAACAATATCAACACAAACAGATCCAGGCATTAGCTACGGATACAGTTCCGACAGTTACTTCACCAGGGGCAATGTTGCCCATTCCTTGCTTCATGTGAGTACACCATATAATATATAATTGTAACTTAAGTTTAAGAAGATATATCTGAAATTACTGGTATTTATAGATATGTGGTATGCATGCCAAAGATACAAGTCTCAATCGAAGTCAATGGTTTGGCCTATAATTAAATTGGCATTTTTTTCTTTCTTTTCATGTACATGTTTTTATGTCGTTCATAAAAGGTCAATATTTTTATAAACCAAAGAAATATAATCATCAAATTTTCTCAAGCTGTCCGGCTTCATTTTTACATCGGTAAATTATAAGAATAAATTTAAATTAATTAGTTTTGATTGATATAAGGCTGGTGTAAAATAGTTTTACAATTTTTTGCGTTTTAAATCATTTCAAAATTTGTATTTTGATCAGTTCATCGTTAAATTGGAAAAAAAAGCAGTTTAAATATATAGGTAAATTGTTTGCTTTTTTTCCTTTACGATTGAATTAATTAATAACTTACACGTAGATCAATTAAAAAATTAACATGTTTGTTGTTTCGACTCTTTACATGTAGCTTTTGATGTTCATTCTCATTAAAATTAAATCAAAAACAAGAAAGCCATTAATCCAAGTTGTTACTTAATCATTAGTTTCACAAGTGAAACATATTTTAAGTTAATTGCTTGTGTAATTTGTTTTAAAAGACAACTAAACTGTTTAATTGCCTGACAAACGGCTATTGTCTGGACAGAATTCAATGATTGAAAATATTTCAAAGAAATGAAAATAATGATAAATAGTTGTAATTAAACAGCAATTCATTTAATAATTGTGTTCGATATAACGTCTAATAAAGAGAACAGCAATGAAGATACCAGTACACATATCTTACTGAACACCTTTGTTTCTGTTTCAACATATGCCATTAACTTCTAAAATCAATTTCAATGGCAATCATATCACATCTCCTTTTATTTAGATAAAACATTTCATGTCGAAACATTGAATTACAGCTTTTTTTACCACGAGAGATTTGTATGTTTAATTGCGTGCATATTCAATGTGCATTTACTCCATATTCTATTGAGAATTTTGTATCGACTTATTCAAGACGCAACATGGTATTGAATCTTGTTAAAAAAAGCTTAAAGATGTCGTCTTATTTGTATGTGTTTACTTGTTGATGACGGTGATTTGAAAGTCCATCCTTCTAAAGCATATCCAATTAATTTTTGGAAGCCTATGAATATACCTATTGTGACTATTTTTTTAACGCTTAATTAAATATCATTAGCATTTGTCTGATAATGTTAAATTCTTATGCCAACATTAAAAATCATGGCTTCCTTCTCGAGTGAATATTAGCTTGAGTCTCTTTCAACTGGTGTTTGTGCGAAGACAACTATTTATAACTATAAAAACAATTGCAGATTATTATTTTTCACATACTGAGAATTGAAATATTAATTACAGCTAAACCCTGCACACATAGCGTACTGAAATCTATTAAAGTATCCATCTTGCCCTATTTAACCAATGATAGGTCTATACAAAATATCAACTGCTGAAGACATTATACTGCTGTCATACAAGAAAAATATCAAGACTACTTTCCAACTGTTTGGCACTGAATGACTATCCACCAAACAATATGTCATGACGACCCAATACTGTATTTTGTTCTGTTTATTCCATATTAGCACATGTGGTATCATTTAACTGTTTTCTTTCTTATGAAAATTTATTTTTGGATGTCTTCATGCTTGTTCTGTTCATACATGTCCAGAGCACATCTTGGTGTGGTTTGGAAAAAACAAACAATTTAACACTCAACAAATATGCAGGTATACTTAGGAGTGACTGAAAACATTATTGACATGTAACTGATGCCAATATAACTTGTTTTCTTACTTGTTAGTGTTTCAGCTAAGAAGAAAGACAAATTTGTGTGCAAGAATATTTTTATTCATATTTTTTGAACAAAATGTAACAATTACACATCTGAAAGACTAGTAATTCAATACAGCAAGATCAAATGTATAAACTAGTGCTGTCACATGTAAAAATACCCTGGCAAATTAAGAAATAATTATTATCAATGATCATATGATACACTTTTATAAACTCAGCAATACAAAAAAAAAAACACCACGTTTTTCCTTACAAATAAGTTGAACTTCAAAATTTATTGTGTCAAAAATATTAACTGGTTATAAATCTATAAATTTTCGTTTTTTTTTGTTTTTCAATTCAAATTTTTTTTTTAACTTCATAGAAAATAATAAGTGTGTGATTTTGTTGATAAGTATAAAATATATGAGCTAGAGTTTGAAAATGTTTCTAAATACATAATAAGAAATAAAGATGTTACGACATTATTCACTTAAAATAAGTACAAGTTAGCCTTATCTGTATGCCAAATTTTATACTTATCCTTTTACTTTGTTTTGGCTGGGCATTAATTTCATTTTTAAGAGATCACTTAAATTTATTTGTAATTATGTACAGGTTCAATCGATGAGCAACACTCAAAATAAAATTTATTTATATATATATATATTGTATGTACAGATTGTACTGACAAATAGTTAAAAATCTCTGAGACTTTAAGACTTAGAATAAAAAAAAATTCTATGTACACGAAATCTGGTGGTATTCCATTTTCCTATAGAAACAGCCATACTTCTGGCCAAGTATCATGGGTAAGAAGGAATACACATGTACAAAAAATTATAAAAGATAACTACAAGAAAAACCTATCTTACTAAATAGCTTTAAGAATTTGAGATTTTCCTTTAATCACTTTAACCTTACATTCCAATATAAAATAACAAATAAATAACTACTCATATCTAAACATATCATGAACACTGTATATTCAGAAATTATTGCGATGTTTTTATTATTGCGAAAAATGCGACAGGGTTATCATCGCAATAATTAAAACTCGCATTTTTAAAATTTATTTTTGAATCAAACAGGAAATTTCTGAATATCGCAAAAATTAAAATTAGTCTAAAATGACAAAATCGCAATAATAAATGCATGCAATAATTTCTGAATTAACAGTATTCAGACAGTTATATGTGTAAATATGGACAGCATATTCTATTTCATGTAAATATATTGACCTTTTCAGTCTGAAATAAAGATTCTTATGGTATTTTTAAGAAAAGGAGCTTTTATTTAACATTAATACACATTGGTATCAAGGAAGTAAAATTTTAACAGAAGTTTTGGAGAAATTTAAAACATTGTCGATATACATTGTAAGAAAAGAAAACTGATCAATTACAAGCTAGATACATGTACTGACATAATGAAGTCGATCATTATCTCTCCCAACAATCTGAGGAGCACTGACATCTTTCAACATAACAGCTTTCTGTGAGGTTTTACTCTCTAACACACTCCAGAATCCATCTTCATATCTAACATCATCAAATATATCCAGTAAAACCCAGGTGTATGTTTGTCCTCTCCAAACATGCTCAAAAATCTTACAAATTGAACCAAATATCATACTGTCAAGAAATGAATCAGTTGAATGTTGATCTACAGCATACACGTATGAATTTGAAGATTTGTTATTGGAATAAGGTGAAAATTTGATTTTCCTGCCAGTGTTTCCATATGTAGTGTTTCCATAGGATCTTGTGCATGAAGCAAGTTCCTTGCCTTCCTTTCTCATTCTTGAAATCAAACAAAAGTCATAAATATTGGCCATTTCCCTCAAAATGTTATCATCAATAGAGAATTTTTTCTCATTTGTACTACAACTGTCATCTTTTTCATCTTCTAAAAGAAGTCTCTCCAGTTTACCAATGTCAATATCATCTTGTTTGACCTTTCCAGACATTATCATGTAGACACACCAATCGTAAATCTAAAAAATAAAAAATGACCATGAGAAACAATTTAAATAAACTGCTTCGCTGAGCACAGCTGGATATGCCCGCAGAGGTCCAACCCTGAACAGTTGGGGCAAAAATGGACACAATATTCAAGCTTGATACACGTCTGAATTTGGATTGTAATTAAATATTTGACATATTATAGGTTTCTGAATAAATGTAGTCAAAGAACTTGAAATTGGTTATATGAATTGAATTTATCTTCAATTAAAGATTTCTTGCTGTTGTGCAATACTAAGTAAATCTGTTGTCAGATTAAAATCAAATAAAGTTCAATTTCTTCTCAATGAAAATGAAAATCAATAGGGAGATTACATCAATAGCTATAAATAATTCACCAAAGTTTCATGAGAACTGCTGAAAGCATTTTTGAGTTATTGTCCAAAAACTGGAAAATCCCCCCTTTTTTTAATAAATAAAACCCCATAACTCAGAAATGTAAAATTTAAAATTTATAAAATTCTAAAGGGGGCTTACATCAACAGATATAAACAATTGACCAAAGTTTCAGGAGAACTGGAAAATCCCTCCTTTTTTAATGAATAAAACCCCAAAACTCAGAAATGATAAATCTGAAATTTATAAAAAACGAAAGGGAGCTCACGTCAATAGATATAAACAATTCACCAAAGTTTCATGCATATTGGTTAAAGCTTTTTGAGTTCATGTCCGACATGTTGACGACGGACGGTCGACAGTATACCATAATACGTCCCGTAAACGGGCATATAAAAATGGATATTTCATTTAAGGTTTAACATGCAAGACCTGAACGGGTCCACTGGATTTCTGATATTAAATATAAAATAAGATTATACATTCATATAATCGTTTTCCAAATCAAAAACAGTCAAAATCAAACTTGTCGCCTAAAACAAAATTCGAAAAGGTTTTGGTTTTCCATTGCTTTATGACTGTCATGACAGTACATTTAATAAAAAAAGGGTAGGAAAATTACTTCTTAAAAATATAACCATGAAATAAAATCTAGCTTAAGAATGTTCCTTGCTTTTGAATTTTTGCCTGTTATTCTGAATCCTCTGCTTTTACTGATGTAGTGAGTGCCATTAACACATTCTGTTACCAAACCCTTTCTTTTCTTTTTATATCTTTTTACAACAAATAGTTTTAGAGGCCTTATTTAAAAATCTGTTATTCTTATAGTTTTTGAAAGAAAAATTGATGCCTATGTTAAATGTATAAAAAATCTAGAGGGATTCACTTCCCGCCAAGTTTTCAACGGCTTATATCTTGAAAACAATCACAAAGACCCTACATTTTTTCATGTTTTCTTTTAGTTCCTTCATTCATATACTTTATAATTTATAATAATCTTGTTAATTTCAAATCCTTAAACATAAAAATTGACATGAAAATCTTGTGACAAAAATTTTCATGTTCATATAAAGAATACTTGGGTAATGATCTGGTGTTGGGACTGAAATATAATTATTTAGTTGTCTAATATGGCATATACTTACAGCATAAGTCTCCATGATTGTTGCTTCAATCTTGTTTTTATTTAAAGCTTGACGGGTTATCCAACTGTTTACTCTTTCAAATGGAAACAACCACCTCCCATAAAGAGGACCAAAATTTGCAAATCCTTCTGGTATATGATGAAGTAGATGTGTTGTAATAGTCTATAACATAAACAAAATACAATGTATCAGTAATGGTTAAAATAAATATGACATACACTTTAGCAAACCACAGAACACTGCAAATACCAATACCACAAATCACAATTCGAAAGAAAAAAAATCAAAGCTGCTGCTTAAATTTTGGTAAATGACTTTAATATTAAAGGGAAACTTCGCAAAAAAAATGAAAAATTCATATTCTGTTCATTATGTATTAAATAGCACAAATTCATAGATATTAAAGTTTTATTCTGCAAGTTAAGAGATCAACATCGATTTTAAATTTAGAGTATCAATTCTCCGCATGCGGCCATTTTGACATCCTCCCCGAATATTGACCACGATATATCTATAAACCACAAAGGACCAAAACAAGCAGTAACCTAACGTAGCCGTAATTGAGTGTCGATATCTTGTCCAGCGTACGGTTGTTTTATCCGACAAGGAAAGCATAAACAGTTTCCCGGGTCACAAAAAGATTATGATAGACATGGTTGTGCAACCTTTCCTAACTAACTTGATACGGAAAATGTAATTTTATATATATTATTTTTTAAATAACTAGTACTAATAGTATGGTCTGTCGTTTTGAAACTGTTTTGTTTACGAAGTATTTAAAACAAGAAATTGAAATTAGTTAAAAAGTCAAAGTTATAAATAAGTGTTCCGTGTAAAATTGTTTTTGAAAATCTAGTTTGTTCATAATTGTTTAAAATAAATTCGGACGTTTCCTTATCTGATCACCAGAATGGCTAAAGGAATTGTTCCCAGAGGTATTGTGAGGTGACACGTACATGTATTCAAGCGATTTCCTGTCGGGCTTTAAAACTGTTATTACACAATTACATAAAACAAGTTCGTGCATCACTTCTTTTCTGGGGGTATTGATCAGTGTACACGGCCGATAACATGTAACTTTCATTTTGAATCTATCAGGTGTAATATACAACTTTGTATAGCGTATCCGATAGTGATATACTAGTCATTGCTAAACTCATACGCTTGTTTATAAATAACATTTTTGGTGTAAAGAATGATATTTATGAAAATTTAAATAATTAAAAAAAAAAAAGATTTGATGAAATAAAAATCTATTTACACATTTTCCAAGGGTAAATTGGGGAAAATGTAAGTATATACTCGTCAATAATTATGGACATTTTGAAACATACAAATATTGATTTATCAAAATGTGCGGCACTTGTCGATCATTGGTTTATACGCCTAGATGGAAGGTTTAATACGGAACTATGGATAGTCGCAATATAGAACTAATATCATACAAGTATATTGAATATACGAGAGAAACATCCAGAACCAATCTGATTTAAATACAGGTCGATATCTAACTTGCTTTGGTTCATCGAAGCTATAGGCATAGTAAAATCACAGATTTATATTTCAATAAGATTATTTCGAACAGTTTAAGAAATTCGTCATCATCACATTTTCCTGGTCCGACATGCATGTTATATATATATGCCACTAGACGTGCACTAATGATCCCCAAAAGCCTATTTGAAGAAATAAAGAAACTTCACTCCGGATAGACTGATGGTAGTTGTATTAACGTCTGGTCAGCTAGAGGGTTGATTTATTTATTTAGTTAGCTTGTAGGGGATTAAACCACTCTTAATATTGCACTTATGCATTAGATATTAAATGACAGTACCGGTAATATAAGAGAAAATATAAATACGAAAAGTCGCATATCAGATAGAAAAGGACTCACCAAGAACTATAGGATTGTACGTACGATTGTCATTCTAAATCGCATAACGGACAGTCATTTAAATGCATGCATGTACGCTGTGATAAAAAGGGGTGTCGCAGTTGCAAAGTATTCATCATAAATCTATTTCAAGTTTATTATTTCCTGTTATTTTTATAAGTTAACGCAGAGACATGTATACACTAGATATCTATTTAACGACAAGCAACTATATAAATATCTGAATCTGATGTGACTTACAGTTCATCTCTTTCTTTTTTCTCATTTTATTTTTATTTTTTGCAGGAATATACACATTGTAAGATATACTGTTCCTCGATTTGGGGGGGGGGGGGGGGGGGGGGGTGGTCTGAGGTCATGTCTATCTATCTATGATTAACCTTGACATTTCCGGGAATAACAGAGCTACTTGTATATTACCTGAATGTGGTTAGGTGACGTCCCATGAGGTCTTACGTATACATGTTCATATTTATAATGGTTTCTGATATAACAATTAGGTTTTATAACATTCACACTTCTGCATGTTCTGTATACCAAATTCGTATCTTTTTTTCAGACCGAATGAGGATGTGAATATTTTCCAGGATCAAATTCATTTCGGGATCTTTTTTATTTCTTTGTATTAAATCTCAGAAATTTACAGAATATACTGCTTGTCCGCTTTAGGAGTTTTCTTGTCAGTTTAAACAGACGTATATATGTCTCTGGTTTAGAGTGGGTTTATGAATGAATGATAAGTCTTACAAAGGTACAAGATATGAAGCACAGTGAAAATTGATTTCGACGTTCTTCTCCATTTAAAAAAGGAAAGTTGACGTTAGATTGATTCTGCTAATTTTTTTAAACATCGTTGGTCAAATAGCTTAGAATTATATAAATACGTTGTCATTCCTGATTAGGTAAATGAAGATCGCTTTGGACGACAAAACTATATTTTTGTAACTGATAATTTTCTCTGCACATTTAAATATTCAAGGTTACCGATGATAATTTAAAATAGTACTGTTTTAATTTATACGCTCGTTTTCGTGGGCCATTTATAATATTTATATAATTATTTTATAAAAAGTGATTCAGAATTTCGATGTTACAACAAAATACTCACCTATTTATTTAAAAACTGAGCAAATGCAAAATGTTAAAAAAATATGTATATAACGGCTATTAAGGTATTTTGCCACCATATTCCTCCCTTAATAATTAAAAAAAATCTGTCTCATACCTGCAACGGTGAACTCTTGAGGACAAACACCACTCTAGTGAAGATCAAAGGATTAAAATTACATAATGCTAATCTTTTAATTACCGTGAATTTAACCACGCCTTTACCAGGTGGTGTCAGCATAATACACATGCATTGTATTTACACAGTACTAGACTGAAGCAAGGATTTGTATAGTAAGACAAATCCTCGACTGAAGTAATAGGGGAGAATACAAACGTGAATTTCTATATACTATCAGTTATATATGTTGTTCAAAATATCCGTCGAAAAAAAATCATAAAAAAATTCTATTGTATGATTTGCTTTTATTACTATAATCATATCAGAAATCCTTAAAATATAAATCGTAAATTTTAATTTAAAAAAATGCACGGCTGATCACTTTTCTTTCTGAATTGTTAGTTGGTTAATAGCTACGCCAAAAGTCGTCGATGCGCTTTAAATCGCGTTATTAGATGATTAACGAACAAGACTTACAATGAGATTTATTCACTCCCGGCATGCAAAAAGACTTAAACTACGTCACATAAGTCAGGAAGTTGGAATAAATAGAATTATTAATTCCCAATTTTCTTCTTTATTAGTGTTCATATCCAGATAAAACTTGGTGAATATGTTTTTAATGGTATTATGAACATAATAAGATGATAAGTAAAAAATCGCGAATTTTCCCTTTAAGAGCTAATTAAGTTGTATATGAAAAGAAAAATGGGTGTTATGGGGCAAAATATTTTACCCTGTATTGTTGGGAAAAAATTCAAGGAGTTCCAAGATCCGACACAAATTCCTAAACCTCACATTAGTACATACATCCTTAATAATATGACTCATCAGTGTATCATGTATTTACCTGCTTTATCAGTTGAATTCATTGATATTAATAATGCGTTGGAGCCTTTTATATCTTACAACACAGGTTTTTCTCATTGTTGAAGGTTGTGAAGTAATCAATAGTTGCATCAATCTCCCTAATTTGAACTTTAGATGTTAGTTACAGTAAGTCACCTCATAGACAAACTTACCAAAGTTCTTATTATCAGTTTAATGTGAAAACGATTCATATTTTTTTATGACTGAAACTATTTAATTAGCAAAGCAGTGATACATATATTTTAACACGTCAGAGAACTCACTGGTTTAAACTAGAATGTTAACTACAGAATACTTCAATGTGTATTAAAATCTAACTTGTTATTGTCAATCTTTTTATTGAATATGTAAATTTCTAAATTATACAACTAAAAAGTTTTATCTTTACTTTTTGAACTCCATATTACATTTGTACTTTCAAAGCTAACACAGCCAATTTTGACATTTATCTTTTTGTGAAGATAAAACTAAATGCACATTCTGATTAAGTTTGTCTCATACCTGTAATGCAATAGGGAAATCTCTTTCCACCAATGAAACAGCTTCACTTGTAGATTCAATAATGTATTCCAATTCGTTTTCATGATAAGATTCACTGGTCAGCAACTCAATCACATTAAAAAGCTTCCCTAATGTTGTCTCTTGTTTAGTGGGCAATAGTCCTCGTAGACACCAAAGTGCAGCTCCACTGGTTACAAACTGAAAATGTCAAATAAATGGTCAAATACTTCAGAGGGTCTATTGTTTTGTGTGGTGCATGGCATGCATACATTGTACATGTGGGTACAAAAAATACTCAAAAAATTTACTTTTATACAAAAAATCGGAAGAATGCAGTGTAATTATCAAACTGTCAAATTGAAAACAAAATTCACAAATTGTACAACAGTATTACAACATCAACTACCTACATACATGACATGTATACTTGAAATCTTGTGGCAGCATTTTTAAAATTAAACATCCAACAAATATTTATAATTGTCTGATTTTTTAAAATTGTGATGAAGACCATTACAAACAAGCATTCAGTGAGTATTGCATGGCAATACATAATCCCCTACCTGTTAAAAATTCATTGTAATGGAACAAAATTCTAACTTGATCTATAACTTGTCATGGTGTAAACATTATACCAAGGACCATAGCTCTGCACAAAATCACCAGACTGGACCAATATTAAAACTTGACCTGTAACTTAAAAAAAGATGTGGTATGCAGTGTTCTCCCCAGGATTTTTGGATAGCACCAGGGTAACGCATGTGGACTTCTTGGTGAAATATTTCATGCAATCAGTTGTGTCTTGTCGCGTCGCTTAGCTCTAGTTACTGTAGTTTTTATGTCTCTTGTTTTGTTTTAATACTGTGGTACTGTGTTATGTAGACATTGATTCAGAAAATTATTGGTAAAAAAGAAGTAAATCAAAAAACAGTTTGTATACTTTAATATTTTTTTAAAATAAATAAATTATGATTCATAATAAAATATTCATCCGAATTTAAAGTAATTAAATCTTTTATAAAATCCAAAATCAATAAAAATAAAATATCATTAAAAGTGAACAAAAATGTTCTATTGGTGATAATCAAACATAGATACAGGCTTAATACTGCCCTGAAATCTAAATCTTTATTTGTCATGAACCATTTAAAAGGAATTCCTAAATCTATAAATTTATCTTTGGTCTATAGATCTATAAGTAACCATATTCAATGTCAACAACTAAGTCTCCCTAATTTCCCGCCTAAATGACAGGAAGTAGATATAAATAGATTTAACATGTGCTTTTGGATAAAATTTGCAAGAATTAGATTACTTCTGTTATTCATTGATTATGGATATTGATATCCAGTTTTAAGGTACAGTCATGCATTTTATTTATAAAATATAATAGATTGCAATTAATTGTAAATAAACTTGAATATTCTACGTGAACTAACTGGGTCATGTGATATGTACAGACAGATACTACAGTTTGAAACCCGACTATCATGCAATAACTATGTCATACTTAAAGATAATATTGTCCATGGTTTAATCAGAGACATATAATACTATATTATAAGAATTGGGAAATGTATAGTTGTCCATTATACGTAATTAGCCACCTTTATGATGTACACACAATGTACCTATCGGGTCAAGACACTGTTTGTGTACAAAGTATTTACCGACTTGTCACAGGTCAGTGCTTGGGTGGAGAGGGAAGCCATAAAATAGTTATCTGTGATCATAAAGTTATGAACTCTTAATTAAAACACAAAAGAATCATGTTACAAGTGTTAATGACATCGATTAAATGCAATCAACAAGGTTAACCTCATAAGGTAAATCGATCACGTGGTGTAAACAATCTGTGTTGAACTGGTTTGAACTGGTCAAATTTCACCTGGAATTTTACACCGCACGGAAAAGATTTAACAAGTCGTTTAAAACTTTACCGATTTACGATTTTTTAACTGAAAATTTTAGCACCACGGAGAAAAATTATACATCGCGGTAAGAACGATACCACCGCGGTAAAAAATTATACATCGCGGGCCCGCGGTCCTTTAAGGGCCTGGGGAGAACACTGGTATGATTGCCAATGAGACAACTCTCCACAAGAGACCAAATGACACAGAAATTAACAACTATAGGTCACTGTACGGCCTTCAACAATGAACAAGCAAAGTCCATACCGCATAGGTCCAATCCATGTGCAAAAATTACTTGCTAACTTAATTTAATTTGTTCCAAATTGAGTATTTGGCAGGCAAAAGTGAAAATAAAGATAAGAATGTGTCCATAGTACACAGATGCCCAACTCACTTACTAAGGCTTTTCTACCCCAGGAATAGATTACCTTAGCTGTATTTGGCAAAACTTTTAGGAATTTTTGGATTCGAGCCCATCACAAAAAAGTGCCAAAGGAACCGTACAACTTTCCTCCATGTTCTGAAAAACACCTCCATCTTTATACCAAGATTTGTATATCTTTCCGTCAACAATGTCTGTTAGCTTTCCATTGCATAGATCTTGTCTCGAATACAGAATCTTGCATATATTGTCACTACCAAAAATCCCTGAAAGTCTTGGTCCAATAGGCATATATGTGAAAGTTTTGCGTGCACTTAAGGACTCTGCTTTATATCGTGTCTCACCACATTTCATACACTCTCTGTCTAATGAATAGTCATTGTCATTTGTTTTACAGAAAAGCAAGCAGTCATTTACACATGCATCATATCTTCTTGTTTCAATAATCATTGGTTTGATCAGCTGATATGCATCTTTGTATGATTCTGGGAGGCAGTTGGGAGTTGGCAACACTGTCTTCTCATTTTTAAGGCACATGCTTAGTGCTGTTTTTGACATTCCATTGTTTGCGCTAAAGTTGATAAAGTGTCTAAACAAGGAGTCAAGCAGTGTTGTACGACAACCCGGATATAAGGGTTCTTGAAGTTTTTCGCTAAGGGATTCATCATTATTCTCTATTGGTAAAAAATTTGGCTTCAGGTATGACGATTTCCTGATTGAACTACTGATGGTATTAAAAAATTTCTGTTGTTGTCTTCTTTGTGTCCTTTCACTTTTCCCAAGTTCTGAAAGAAAAGACAGCTTTTAGTGAATTTGGAATTGTGTGATTGATATTTACTAAGATCATTATAATGCAACATTTATAAATAAACAAGCATTCTGTGAGTATTGCATGGCAATACATACATGTAGATCACTACCAGTTACAAATTCATTGTATTGGAACACAAGAGTGCACACGCTGAAATGTCTCGCCTTCTTTATTAATCATTGATATTATGTTGATAGTCCTAAATATAAAGCTTTATTACAACTGTCACATAAACTTAACATTAACCAAAAAAGTAAACATTGACCAATGAACCATGAAAATGAGGTCAAGGTCAGATGACCCATGCAAGCAGACATGTACAGCTAACAATTCTTCCATACAACACATATAGTTGACCTATTGCTTATAGTTTAAGAAAAACAGACCATAACACAAAAACTTAACACTGAGCAATAAACCGTGAAAATGAGGTCAAGGTCGAATAAAACCTGTGCGACCAACATAAAGATCATAAAATATTTCCATATACCAAATATAGTTGACCTATTGCATACAGTATAAGAAAAACAGACCAAAACACAAAAACTTAACTATAACCACTGAACCATGAGAATGAGGTCAAGGTCAGATGACACCTGCCAGTTGGACATGTACACCTTTAAGTCCTTTCATACACCGAATATACTAGACCTATTGCTTATAGTATCTGAGATATGGACTTGACAACCAAAATTTAACCTTGTTCACTGATCCATGAAATGAGGTAGAGGTCAAGTGAAAACTGTCTGACGGGCATGAGGATCTTGTAAGGTACGCACATACCAAATATAGTTATCCTATTACTTATAATAAGAGAGAATTTAATGTTACAAAAAATCTTAACTTTTTTTTCAAGAAGTCACTGAACCATGAAAATGAGGTCAAGGACATTGGACATGTGACTGACGGAAACTTCGCAACATAAGGCATCTACAATGTATATACAAAGTATGAAGCATCCAGGTCTTCCACCTTCTAAAATATAAAGCTTTTAAAAGGTTAGCTAACGCCGCCGCCAGATCACTTTCCCTATGTCGAGTTTTCTGCGACAAAATCGACAAAATTCTAACTTGATTTATAACTTGTCATGGTGTAAACTTTATAACAAATATTAAGTCAATATCTTCAATCAAGAGAAAAATAAATGTGGATTGTGTATACACAGATGATGCCCCCGCTTGCATATTATATTGTTATAAAGGGACACTACCCAAAAAAGAACTTGATCTGAGTTTTATGGTAATAAGCATTGTGTAGAATTCTCATTATATTTGGTTGAGGCAAACTTAAGTTAGAGAACGGAAACTAAAAATTTTGCAATTTTTCCATTTATAAAGGGGCATTACTCTAGAATGGTTTGAGTGACGCCACCAAAATTCAAACTTGATCTGTATTTTGTGGTAATAGGCATTATGTATAAGTTTCACAACATTTGGTTGAGGAAAACTTAAGTTAAAGAACGGAAACTAAAAATTTTGCAATTTTTCCATTATAAAGGGGCATAACTCTAGAACCATTTAAGTGACGCCACCAAAATTCAAACTTGATCTGTATTTAGTGGTAATAAGCATTGTGTATAAGTTTCATAACATTTGGTTTGAGGCAAACTTAAGATAGAGAAGGGAAACTAAAAATTTTGCTATTTTTCTATTTATAAAGGGCATAACTCTAGAACAGTTAAAGTGACACCACTGAAAAAACTTCAAGGTTATTTCTAAGCTTTAATTTAGGGTAGGTGGCGAAATAGGAAACACACATATTTTTTTATTTGGCCCAAGTCACAATGTATAAAAAGTAAACCATTATAGGTCAAAGTACAGCCTTTAGCAGGGAGACTTGGCTCACACCGAAGAGCAAGTTACAACATGTTTGTAAAAGAGCCCCAAAATGACTAGTGTTAAACCATTCAAACAGGAAAACCAACAGCATAATCTATATAAAGCTGGATAAATTTGTTATTCAGGTTAAATAAAATTAAAATTAATTTACATTTGCAGAGAGCCATAAGAACCCTAGATGAAGTGTCGGAAAACAGACACAAGACTATTGGAATAGTTAGAGAGATGTTTCCGGAGATACGGTCATCACCAAAAACCAACAAAAAGTTGAACCGGGCTATCAGAAGGGTGAAAGTCAACAGACAATACTATGGTAACCTCAAGTACGTAAAACAAATTGTTTTCATGAAATCACTTAAGTTTAATGACAGTCAGCATTAGAAACTAGCAAAAAAGTCACATCATCAAACGACTATCAATTAAGACTTAATCATTCTGATAGCTTTTTCACTTTATACCACCCCCTCCTGAATCCAGGTCTAACCGAAATTTTCAATTTAATTAGTGATGAATTGGCTATCATCTACTTTTTTCATGCTAACCAATTGCAATGATCATAAACACAATTAATTTCAAGATAAAGTGATGCCCCCACCTCCTTTCCACTCTGAAGTAATTGTATTATAACAAAGACAATGTGAGATTTTCTCTGAGATATTATTGTGTCTGGGAGACACAAATGATGCCCTCGTTTTATTTTAAAAAACACAAGTTGAGCATTGGAGCACATAAGTTTATGGTTCACTGTCATGACTGTAGGACTACATCTTATACAAATGAATACTCCAAAAATGACAAAGTTCAACTCAAATTAAATGCAATGCACCCCTTATGCATTGCAATACTCCAAAAATGACAAAGTATCCTCCAAAAGAACAAAAATTAATAAAAATCAAAACCCTGACCACATGCACATCTCCAATATATGAACAAATAGCCAGCAAAGTGAAAACTTTCCTAGCATTCAAACTGCAGGGGGAGTTATGCGGAATAACTATATACTCATATTAGACGGACGGACGGACAGACAGGGGTAAAACAATATGCCCCCTAACTTTCAGTTGCAGGGGCATAAAAAGTGTGACATCTTAAGCTTTTCAAGTTCCAACTATTAATTTTTAATTGTAACCCATTGTCAGCCTAAGTGGTGGATTGCATACAATTACACAACAAATGAGAATATTGACGAAATTAATGTTATTGGCACTACTGTATTTATTTTGGTACATGTGTACAACTTTTATTATATTTTACTTTTTACATTACAGACAAAGAGCTGTGACACAGGGACAAACAGTGCGTCAGATGCTCAATAAGACAAAAAGGTAAGGGCATCCTTAAATCAAAATCAATTTATAACTAAATGCATTGTAAAAAAGCTTGACGCTATTTGGAGTGGAAATTTTCAAAGTGCATAGCCAGTAATTTTATACAAATATATCATGCCAAAAATACCGGTGACAAATTATCTGGCTGTTAATCGCAGGCAGGACATGGCATGGTTTATATCCTGTATATCGATATCTCATCCCCAACAACAAACTAGAGGCTCTCAAGAGCATGTGTCGCTCACCTGATTCTACTTTGGATTTAGAAATCATGTAAGACTAGATTGACATAACAGTTACCTTAATAATGATTGAGGCCAAATCTGGTTTAAAATTGGCCCTGTATTTAAATAAATATCCTGGTGGCCATCTTGAACAGTAAATTGGCAACAAAGTAGCAAAAATTGATCAACACCTCATAAGGAACATTTATAAATGCCATGTTTGGTTTCGTTCCATAATTAAGGTTATCTAGAAGAAGACATTTGTATATATTTCGCATAGGGTGCTTTTTAAACTACAAATGTAAGTTCCCCATTGGCAGCCATTTTGGTTGCTGGATTTCCTACAAAGTAACAACACTTGGTAAGCACCTCATTAGGAGCATTCATGCCATGTTTGGTTTCATTCCATACAGTGGTTCTCTAAAAGAAGACATTCTTATGTAATGTCCATAGGATCCTATGGTAAATCAAGTCCCCCAGCTGGCGGCCATCTTGGATAGCACAGAAACATCATAATTTCCATTTTCAAACAGATCAAACTTTAGACCATTACTTGAGAACAATGGTGTATAAATTATTCAACATGAACATATTAATAAGAATTTTTAAATTCAGATATTAATAAGAATTTTTAAATTTCAGAGGTGAATCAACTTGCCCCCTCGATGACCAAACAAGCACAGACCTGATGACAATTGATCATGACCGAGAACCAGAATTCAACCAGCAAGATGATTCTGCTACCACCAACAACACAGACCTTGAAGCCAATACACCTGTTGAAGCAAACAAAACTGCTGGAGCCAACTTTACAGTTATAGCAGAAATTCATCAAGAGTCCCATGATACTGATAATACTATATATGAAGCAACACCCATTCAAGACTTAGATGCAGAGCCAACTGATGAAATATCAACTGTTCCAACTGATGAAATATCAACTGTTCCATCTGATGATATTTCATCTGATGAAGAAATGGAAAAAAAACTGATACATTATTGTCAACATTTTTAAATGTCGATTTCATTTATCATGTAAATGTATGTTGTTTTTTTTAATTACATTTCTGTTATCTCATGTTATTTATTATAATTACATTTCTGTTATCACATGTTATTTATTATAATTTAGTGGGTCAATATAAATTAAATATTGAATACCTATCCAACTGCCTCTGTTAACTATAAGTAACTTTTTTAAGCAAGATTGTTCTATGATTTTTTGAATTGAAAATATATCATAATTCAAATTGTTCAATTTTGAAGTTTTAAATTACATTTTAGAAAAAGATTTGTTTGTGCATGTTGTGTAACCCAGCAGTTTTTTTTTTTTTTGGCATGGCATCGTATTTTGAGAAACCATACTTTGTTCATAAGGATTTTTTAATGAAATGTCTTATCGTGCCATCACTGGAAACAAATTTGGATGAGTTATCTTAATATTAGCTCATAAAAAAAATTGCACAAAGAAAAGAATATTACTTTAAAACCTAAAAGACTGATATCAGATAAAATTGTATGAACATTAAAGATAAATTGTAGGGCTAGTCTAATGATTATGGCACTTAAAATTGTGGCATTATATTTCTCATGTTTCTTTTTTAATATGTTAACAAGTTTTGAACTTCATAAATGTCTAAAATAGAGTGCCCAAAACTTTCATGTATTGATTTTTTGTAAATTTTACAAAACTTGATATGTATGATTAAATGAGAGAGGAAGGATAAATTAGGATATACATTTTTATATTGATATATATATATATATATATATACATACATGACATATGATCATCAATATATATTCCACATTGTATTTATTAAAAGAATTGCCAAAGGCAACAATATCATAATCAAGTCTTCCTTTTAATATTTTTGATGTTACAGAACATGGCCCATCTGTGATTTTCTAATTTCTATGACTGTAGTTAATATAAAAAATAAAATGTGGTATGATTGCCAATAAGAAACTTCTCAACAAAGACTGAATTGATGTGGAAGTTATCAGCTATAGGCCACCATACAGGTTTCAACAATGAGCAAAAATCCACACAGAATAGTAATATATTAATATAGTGTTTTCCTGATGGTCAGGTAGACAAGTCAGTTCAACATATCTCTCCAATGGTTCCCTCTACTTTTTGTTTGAATATTTGTTTTACCAAGCGCAGCAACGGTATTTTGAATCTGGTTTATAATACAACCATTAGTGAATAATAAAAATAATGCCTGGAATACAATCTCTTAAGGGGCACTAGCTGTCAAATTCATGTTCACCAATTGACTCAAATTCTCATATTAGATTCATAACAATGTAAAGCATTTATACATATTATAATAAAATGCTCCGCTGGGCGCAGCTTGATATGACCGCAGAGGTCGAACCCTGAACAGTTGTTATGCAAGTATGGACACAACATTCAAGCTTGATACAGCTGTGAATTTGGATTGTGATTAAATATTTGACACAGCATAGGTTTCTGACACAGAATGAATGTGGCCTAAGAACTTAAAAATTTTTAATGGTCCAATATCCAAAATCTAAATACATGGTTAGATTCAGCATATCAAAGAATCCAAAGAATTCACTTTTTGATGAAATCAAACAAAGTATAATTTGGGACCCAATTGACCTCAATGTGGACCAATTTGATAACGGGGCCCAAAAATCAAAATACATGGTTAGATTCAGCATATCAAAGGACCCCATATATATTTAATTTTTGTTGAAATCAAACAAAGTTTAATTTTGGACCCCATTTTCAACCAACTTGAAAACTGGGCCCATAATCAAAAATCTAAACATTTGTTTAGATTTAGCATTTCAAAGAACCCCAAGAATTCAATTTTTGTTAAAATCAAACTAAGTTAAATTTTGGACCCTTTGGACCTTAATGTAGACCCAATTTAAAAAACAGGACCCAATATTAAAAATCAAAATACATGGTTAGATTTGGTATATCAAAGAACCCCAATAATTCAATTTTTGATGAAATCAAACAAAAGTTAAATTTTGGACCCTTTTGACCTCAATATGAACCAATTTGATAGCGTGGCCCACAAATAAAAAATCTAAATACATGGTTAGATTCAGCATATCAAAGAACCCAATATATTCAATTTTTGTTGAAACAGTCTTCACTCTGAACCACAGGCCCAGCAGCCCAGGCTTGTAAAATTGCTCTCGGGCCTGTAAAAATCATATCTACAGGCCAACAGAATATAACTAAAACTTTCCAAAAATTGAGCACTGGACCTGTAGATTTAAAAGTTCATCGTGAAGACTGTTGAAATCAAACAAAGTTTAATTTTGGACCCCAATTTGGACCAACTTGAAAACTGGGCCCAAAATCAAAAATCTAAAAACATGTTTAGATTCAGCATACCAAAGAACCCCTAGAATTCAATTTTTGTTAAAAAAATCAAACTAAGTTTAATTTTGGACCGAAAAAAAAAACAACCTATGATTCATCACCCCCAAACTCAATCCCAGCCTTCCCTTTGTGGTATGGTACCTTGCAGTACAATTTCAGAGGATCCATACACTTGAACACAAGTTATTGTCTAGAAACTAGAAAATGCTTATTTTTGGCTCATTTTGGCCCCAAATTCCTACACAAGAACCCAGCTTTCCCTTTGTGATATGGAACCTTGAAGTACAATTTCATACAGATCCATACACTTACACACAAGTTATTGTCGTGAAACTAGAAAAATGCTTGTTATTTGTCCCTTTTTGACCCTTTATATCCTAAAATTTTGAGGCAAATAACCCCAAAATCAATCCCAGCCTTCCCTTTGTGGTATGGTACCTTGCAGTACAATTTCAGAGAGATCCATACACTTGAACACAAGTTATTGTCTGGAAACTAGAAAAATGCTTATTTTTGGCCCCTTATTCCTTATCGTTTTGGGCAATTACCCGCAAACTCAATTCCAGCTTTCCCTTTGTGATATGGAACCTTGTAGTACAATTTCATAAAGATCCATACACTTACACACAAGTTATTGTCATGAAACTAGAAAAATGCTTGTTTTTTGCCCCTTTTTTGGCCCCTAATTCCTAAAATTTTGAGGCAATTACCCCCAAAATCAATCCCAGCATTCCCTTTGAGATATGGATCCTTGTGGTATAATGTCAGAGATATCCATACACTAACACACAAGTTATTGTCTGGATGTTACAAGAATGCTTATTTTTGGCTCTTTTTGGCCCCTAATACCTTCACTGTGTGTACCATAACCCCCAAAATCAATCCCAACCTTCCTCTTGTGGTATTGAACCTTATGGTAAAATTTTATAGAGATACATTGACTTAAACTAAAGTTATTGTACGAAAACCAATGTGTCTTCGGACGACGACACCAACGTCATACCAATATACGACCGCAAAATTTTTTTTACGGTTGTATAAAAAGTATAAAATAAACAATTTACAGGGCATGGGGTCAATAATATGTAGTTTTATTTTGTGATAGACCATGAATGAAGGGACGGGGCCAAATAATCTCCATGGAAATGAGATATGCCAATGCTTATACAACTGCATACCAAATATCATTGACCTACCACTAGTGGTTCCCCATAAACTGACCTACGTGTAATCACAAACTAATACATGTAAACTAAGCAAAGTTTCAAAGTCAAAAGACCTTGACTGAGGGGGCGGGGCCAAATAATCTCCATGGTAATGAGATGTGCCAATGCTAATACAACTGCATACCAAATATCATTGACCTACCACTAGTGGTTCACCATGAACTAGACCTAATCACAAACTAATACATTGTTGGCGCCGCCATCGCCGGAAACAGCATACCTATGTCTCGCTTTTTGACTCCGTCAAGGCGGGACAATAAGGAGAGTTGGTATCAAGCCATATCCAATTCTCACAAGTTGTGAAAACTATTTCTTTTATCATGCTTATGGTCAACACTTTCATTGTGATGAATTAATAATCCCGCAAATCGTGCCTTAGTCTTTTGCACATACATTTTTTGTACCAGCATGCTGACATATATATGTCCTATTCCAATATCAAAATTGAACATCGGGCATTTTAAAACTTTTTGAACACATCAGAAAGTAATAAATATAGGCAAAATGAAGATCTCCAGTTGAAAAGTGTGTCAGTTAATTTTTTGTATATTAGTGAAGAAATCACATATATGTGTGTTTCCACAGAAGAAATGTACAGTCTTAACCTTTGAAAGTTATCAATGACCTAATGAATAACCAATGGAAACGTTGTAATATTGTCTCATGATGCTGAATAATCCAATCAAATAAATTTTCATATCACTTTTTTGTATCACACTAAGTACAGTGTGATACGAGAAATATCTCTTCATGCAAGAAATTGATAACAGCTGGCCACAACCATAAGAGAAATTCAGTTATCAGAATTAACAATAATTGACCTTTTTAATTATTTGGACATTGTACTTACCACATATATCAAAATAACCAGAAAAATCCATAATCATCTAAGGTAATGGAACCATCACTTTGTACATGTAGTAACCTAAATGAGACAAGAGAGAGAGGCATTCATTATACATATATATATATAATTTTTTTATGTTGCAATTTAACATATCATTAGGGGAAAAAAGGGTTATGCTTGTTCCTGACAGTTCTGAACAGGGTTTATTAGGATGTTTGAAGGTGAGTATGTCATGTTTATAGTCAGATTACTAATAAACAGCTGCGTCATGAGCACAGGATACGCCCATCACATTTTCAAAGAATTAAGTTCAATTACTTCTCAATGTCATATTAGAAATTTAAAAAATTCTTAAGAGAGCTTACATCAATAGATATAAACCATTTACCAAAGTTTTATGAGAACTGCTGAAAGCATTTTTGAGTTATTGTCCGAAAACTGGAAAAACCCCCCTTTTTTATGAATAAAACCCTGTATCTCGGAAACATAAAATTTGAAATTTATAAAAATCGAAAGGGAGCTCATGCCAATAGATATAAACAGTTCACCAAAATTTCTTGCAAGTTGGTGAAAATATAAAAAAAAAGATGTGGTATGATTGCCAATGAGACAACTCTCCCCAAATAACCAAATGGCACAAAAATTAAACAACTATAGGTAACAAAGCCCATACCGCATAGTCAGCTATAGAAGACCCCAAAATGACAATGTAAAACAATTCAAACGAGAATACTAACGGCCTATTTTATCATTTTAAGTACAATAAATGAATGAAAAACAAATATGTAACACATAAACAAACGACAATCAGCAATTTTTACATTTGTAAAGGGGCATAACTCTAGAACAGTAAAACTGACACCACTCAAATTTGATCAGTGTTTTGTGATAATGAGCATTGTGTACAAGTTTCATAACATTTGGTTGAGACAAACTAAGGTTAGAGATCGTAAACAAAAAATTCCAGCAACTTTTCCATTTGTAAAGATTAAAGGAGCATAACTCTAGAATTGTAAAATCAACGCCACAAAAATTCAACTTGACCTGTGTTTTGAAGTAATAAGCACTGTGTATAAGTTTCATACAATTTGGTTTAGGCAAACTAAAGTTAAGAGAACAGAAACCAATTTTGGGATGTACGGACGTACGTACAAGTAAGGGACGTACATATACTTACAGAAGAAAAAGGGTAACGTGTTGAAGGCCGTACCTTGACCTATAATGGTTTACTTATATAAATTGAAACTTGGATGGAGAGTTGTCTCATTGGCACTCATACCACATCTTCCTATATCTAAAACTTCATACGGTGGGGGCATAACAACAGCAGTATGACGACAGGAATAAAAAGTTTATATACACTAGATTCATAGAGGTGCTTATAACCCTGTAACACATTTTAGTTGATGCTGTGAAATTTAGCATTGAGGCAATAACATTTGAGATTTTTGGTTTTCAGCCATTCATTTGATATACTAGTAATCATTGTCTCAGAGATGACACACTGTTAATTACAGGTCAATCTTTATGAATCATAATGACCCAGGAATAAAATTAAAGTGTTCTGGATCTGCAACTGCATGGTTAAGCACTAAGAAAGTCATTTTGCTATTACATGGACAGATTTTATTTAATCATTGTAAATAATTGCTACAGCACTTGACTTGATACGCTGAGTTATTCTAAGTAGAAGCTGACTTGTCTGCCTTATCCTTATAACGATTTGTGTACAAATGTAATTGTAAATCGTAACATTGAGGAGGCTGTGATACGAACTATCGTTGAGCATGTTGAGTCAATGTTTTTCTGCTGTCAGTTTGATCCACGTGACTGTGAGCATGCTGGATGAGTGAAGGTCCTTAAATCCACATTGGAATGTGAAATACATGTAGCAAGTATTTAAATAGCTGAATTTAAAAGTTTTCAAATGTTTGGCATCAAAACCTTCCGATCGATGTTTTGACAAAAACATGCACTTTTCTATCATAGCCAGTATTTACCTTTACTCATCCTTGGCGTGTGACATAAGCCATATGATTATCGAGTATTTCTGTCACCTGTGTATAATTGTTCAATCAAACTATTATCACTTGTCAATTATCCGACGGCTTGGTCAAAATATAAACATGTTGCATTTCAGTAATGTCAGTCATACTGGATTCTTTCGATACACTCTGGCTTTTACTTAATATTTAATAATAAACATTTGTAAATATCGTACGTAGTAAAAATTGCGCTGGAAAATGTTCATTTATGAAATATTCATGATTTAAACGATGTCTCGTGTAGATTTCTTTTGATTTTCTCTTCAGCGCATGGAAAATCCGTGAAGTAGTGTTTGTGATACTCATTTTTAAAATGAAGTTAAATTCATCTGAATTGTTGGTGAACATTCATTCCTTTTTTTATTCAAGCTACAATCTTTTCAATAGGACTCAAAATTTCAAAAGCATCTTTGAGTAGGACATTTGCGATAGTCTGTCCACTTCTGGTTTGAGGCCGATGGCTTAGGAAAGTGTTGCTATAGCAAACTTTCCAAAAAATGTCTACAGTATTCTATAAATCCCATGAGAATTCTTAAATGTACCTAAACAGATAATGGTTCTTATTGACATACATTGTCCTTGATACATCTACATGTACTACCCACCAAATTTCAAATGACGTGGATGTAGGCAAATATGGGCAACCATAAAGCCTGCAACAATGAGAAAAACCCATACCGTGTGGTTGGCTATAAACATGATAAAAGGCCCCGACATGAAAAATATAAAACAATTCAATTGGGTCAATATCCCTAATGCGCCATCCAATTGAGGAACACAAAATTTGTGTGTAACCAAAACTCTCTGTGTAGTGATATTGGACATGTTTCTATTTTTAACAAGTGACTGAGCTTAACCATTTGTGTTGATCTGGAAAGTATAGGACCATAGAATAAATGTGTAAAAACTATGGAGTTATTATATGTATTCAAAGTATTAAATTTTCAAAGAAATTATTGTGTAAAAAAAAGGACTTTTTACCATGAAGAGCCGCATCACGAAAAGATTTTCGGGGTATGCTAATTTACGGAAAAATGAATCACACTTCGTACCCCGAAAATTTAACCACATATGTGAAAATGTCTCAGCTTCGAAACGAGCCATCATACATATCCAAGTTTACAATATGGCTTAATTTTTATAGTGCCCTATACAATGTCCTCAAAAGATGGAAGGCCCAAAATTATTGATTGGGTAAGGAGGGGGAAATGCAAATTTATTTTGATTGTCTAAGCTAGGAATGTGGCCAGTTAAAGATAAAATACAATATTGTCTTAAATGACTGCCATGCATAATTAGACTTCCAGTAGATTTGTGCTAATTGACTAGAAATAAATTTTACGGTCATATGTCCGATTCTAAAATAACACAATGTCCAATTCAGGGCTCAGGCTAGCAGGCGACTAGGGCAATAAAGTCGCTTTCCCCTCTGTCACTTTGCTTTGCCCAACCGTCAAAAGCGAAATCTAGTCAAACTGTTGTTCACCATACTCGTTTTCAGTCGCTTTTGTCATCAGACATTTTCAATTTTTACCAAGTCGATGAAACATCAATTTTTTATTGAGTATTAAAGAAATTCAGACATAAACGATTCATTTTGTTAAGCATGTTAAGAAAAGATGTTAAAGCTTTGACTTAAATACAGTGTGTAGCAGGTTATTTAATAAAAAGACAACTTTTTATCACTTCATGCACTTCCTGTACTTGTTACTCGAGAGCATACATCAATCTAACTTTTGGCGGCAAAATAAGTTTGTTACTTCATTTGAACGTGATAAAAGTTGCCGCCAGTAAATGTTTAATCCATTTATTGCATTAGAAACGTCAGATTCCTTTCCAAATACCTTGTCAAACATCGTTTATTTTTGTAAATTTTCTTAGTCCCTCACTGACTGTTTACTAACTACCGATCGGAAACAGACCAGCTATGATGGAAATCCATAAACATGATATTCAACCTTAAAATAGTTCTTTAATTGAATTATAATTGATAAATTATAATTTCTTTACCTTTTTGACATAAAAAAAAAAATCTTTTTAGTGCTAGACATTTAGTTGGTAGCTTTCATACAAGAATTTTAACTTTAAACAACTTTGGATTTGAACTGTTACTTAAATTGTATACTCAGATATGAATTGAACAATATAAAAAGAACATTATTGACATATGACCCTTTATACTATAGTAAAACCCAAACATTGTAGCGCAGCAAGCGAAGGAGCACTTCTCTTTCAAATCTCACCACTTCTCCCTATCAGTTTCAAAAAAAGAAGTCACTTCTCCCCATGATTCTGAAGAAGTATGACCCAGGAGTCCATGCCAGCTATTTAATTTTATCAGTGTGTTTAAATTAATAGTAAGAAGATATGGTATGATTTACAATATGACAATGCCAACACAGACCAAAGGATGTAGAAGTAATCAAGTATAGGTGAACAGCATACAACCATGAGCAAACTAGAATATATATGTATACACCTTTTGTTTATCTTTCTATAGTTACAAAAACATGTAAATTACTCTGACTATGGCCATGGCAATTAGTTTCCTTAATGACAACCCTACATCTATCTCCAGTAGTCCTGTATTATCGGACTCCAAATAAATCATAATTTTAGGTCTTACAATGACAATGTATGTCTCTCATCTTCAATAACTAAATGTCCAGCTAATTTATATTAAAGATGTGGTACATGTATGATTACCATTGATACAATCTCCACCAGAAATCAAATATCGTTGCAGTTAGCAAATATAGGTGAACAGCCTTCAACAATGAGCATATATACCATGTAGCAAGCTATACACCTTTTTTTCTTTGTTGAAACTACAGGTATGAATTGCTGTTGTGTATTAGTGCAATCCTTTGTACAAGGAGAAAACTAACGGCCTAATTTATGTACAAAAAAATTAACGAAAAACAAATATGTAACACAGCAACAAACGACAACCACTGAATTACAGGCTCCTGACTTGGGACAGGCACATACATACAGAATGTGGCAGGGTTAAACATGTAAGCAGGATCCCAGCCATTCCCCTAACCTTAGGTCAAGGTGATACATACATATATACACCTGCACCCACTTCAAACTTATATCTGCGAAAATCTTGCTACTAAATTATCAATTCATGTACATATATATCAACAATGTTTTCTCAACTGATGGTGCTAAGCTTACATTTTAATTTGCATAAGGACAGTCTATTTGAAGATGTGTGTGATTTGGACGATAGTTGTTATAATTATTATTACTGATATCTATAAATCACCTATCAGTGTCACCGAACGGATATTACATGTACAAAAAAGCTAAGATGAATAAAATAGTTTTAAATTGAAACCATATAAGTGCTAGCTAAGTATTTTAAAGTACATGTATCTGCTATGAAACCTTTCCATTTGTGAGATTAATATTACTAGAAGTGATTAATCAAAATTATCTATAGAAAAATCAATATCAACACCCTATTTTTTCCTTTCTTAAAAACAACAACAATTTTTATATATGATCATAATTTACAGCTCTCCAAAAAAGAAATTTTTGATTTAGGCAAGCACATTTTAATGTTTTTTTATGCTTCTTAGATCATGTAAGATACTGCTTTTAATCATGCACATGCAAGTTCGGGTAAATCAGTCTGTATAAAGATTCATGGCAAGGGTAAGAAAATAATTTCCTCCCAGTCAAAAGAAATAGTTTACGTGTCAAAGTTTTTCGAGTCGGAATTCAGCAACTGACGGTCACTCGAGTAAATGCCCTTAACTATATATATATTTACAAATAGAAATAGAGAATATAGTCTGGTAAGCAAAGCTACTATACAGAGAATGTCTGCCTCATGCTCATATGCAAATGAAATATAAAGGGGAGAAAAAAGTATATCAAAATGAGATAGAAGAACAATGCATCAGTTGTCACGGAACTTCAGAATTATAGAGACCCCTGACAGCCAAACAGGGAAAAGTGAAGCTCCACCAGAGACTTCAGGAAAAATTGAAGGACTGCGTTAATACTTTTTAAGAATAAAATTTTCAAAGTACATGAAGATTGAAATACGAGTCTATATCTTTTAATTATTTTTCAAATTATTTATTTATATATATGTATGACAACATTTCCTTGCCTTGCCATGCTTCTATGATTGAGGATTGCTCGTGGTCTGAATTACATTTGTACCTTCAAAAAGCTACATATTCAAATATTGTAAAAAAAAATATCAATGACAGTTGACATTACTTCTTCTTCTTCTTTAGTGTCAACAAGGCGTCTATGTAGAATACAGTTGATAATTCGAAGCGAAGTCAGTGAATATTTCATATTCTTTTAGAAAGTTCAGAAATGAGATGATGTTGTGTGAATACAAGAAATGTTTGAGTCAGACGGAGGTGGTGATGTTTCAAACATTTATTAGCACGAAATTCACTGCCTAGTCATCAATATTATGATGGAGTGCGGAAACTGAAAGAAGCTTCTAGCTCTGCAAATTGCAATATATCTAGAGCAAATACCTTTTCGTATTTAAGAATGATATAATAAGACCCGTGGCAATAAAACATCGTTTCCTTTAGAAAAATCTGTATTACTTACGGGTTTATTCTATTTCCGATGTAATTCACCTCAGTTGTCAGGTTGTCCACATAGATTGTTCGACTTCAGCAACAAAAATGGCGCCAACGATAGCGTGCCTCAATCGAGACTCCTCCGAGGCCACCTTAAACAACGTACAGTAATTCAAGATTCTTCCGAATGAGAAACCAAAGTCAGTTATTACCCCTGATAAGAATTCCAGGTGGCAGCACACTATAATACGGTCCTAGAGATTCTCTACTGATAAACAAATTATTAGAAAATTAGATATAGATATAAACAATGCCATCAACTTGCTGTTGTGTTCCAAATTGTTCCAATAGAGGAGGTCATGTTTTTCCAAAAAATGAAAAAATAAAGAAGAAATGGATCAAAGCAATCAAAAGAAACATGGATGGAAATAGATATAGACTTTGGAAACCATCAAAAACAAGTGTTGTGTGTAAACTTCATTTTCTTCCATCAGATTACAAGTCAGAGACCACATGTGGTAAGTAATATTTATCTATGTATATCTAGATTATCTTGTTTATAACATGCTGATGTTATATTTCTTAGTTAAGATTTTTAACATGCATGAGTTCTTTGTACATTATTATTATATTGCAGGGTAAAATTTCTTATCAAAAATATGTAAACAGATCATTAATAGTCAAAAGAATTTTTGTTAAAACATGTAAAAAAATATATTTATACAAAAAGTCATGCATATTTAATGATCTTAAAACATTAATTTTAATTATCCTTGGGATAGAAATAAAAATGATATATGTGAATAATGTTCTTTACAAGACCCCTCCCCTTTTTTTTTAATAAAATTGAATAGAAAATCAAAAATATCCATTCATGTCTAACTGAAATTATAAAATTATAAAAAAGAATTGAATTTTTTATTTGTTTAATATGAAACTGTTGTTTTCAGGTACTGTTTCACTTGTAAAAAGATTGAAAAGTGATGCTTTTCCAAGTGTCTTCCCATGGATCAGTACTTCTACTTCTAATGACAGATCAGTACGACAGGCCAAACGAAGTGAGGCAAAAGTCAATGTTGACTCTGATAGTTCTGAAAGCAGTGAGGACATGCAGGCAAATTTTCCATGTGATGATGCTAATGTTGGAAATGAAATTTATTACACAGCCGAACCATGTGTAGATGCAGAAATGACTGTACCCAATGAAAGTATGAATGCTCCATCTACTGACTCTTCACTTACACAAACTTTGACATGGCCATCACTTTGTGTTGAAAAGTTTATGTTTGACTCGCCTGGGATTATGTTTTATACAGGACTGCAGACATATGAAGATTTTACATTTGTCCTTGCAACTTTAGGAAATGCTGCTTATAAACTCAGTTATTTATATTATAGAAGTGATCAGCTTTCAGTTGAAAACCAGTTTTTTTTAAGACTGATTAAACTTCGGCAGCACAAAACTAATTTTGAACTCAGTCGTCTTTTTAATATTTCTGAAACAGCAGTTGTCAACATTTGGGTAACCTGGGTTAATTTCATGTCAAGACAGTGGCGGGAAGTAAAAACATTCCCTGACCGAGACATTGTTCGATTTTTCAGTCCGCGTGATTTTAAAATAAAATTTCCATCAACTAGAATAATAATTGATGGGACTGAATGCCCAGTGATGAAGCCAAAGTCACCAATAGCTCAGCAGTCCACATTTTCAACTTATAAAAACAGGAATACTATCAAACTATTGGTTGGTGCAACTCCTGGTGGTTTGATAAATTATGTTTCTCCAGCATACGGTGGTTCAACAAGTGATAGGCAAATATGTGAAAGAAGTAATTTGTCCTCAGTATGTGATAAAGGTGACTCGATAATGGCAGACAAAGGATTTAATGTACAAGATTTATTTGCACCATATGATGTATCAATTAATATTCCAACTTTTTTTTCGAAAAAAGAACAGAATGACTGGCAAAACAGTTTTGAAAGACCGTGCTATTTCAAGCAAAAGGGTTCATATTGAAAGAATAATAGGGCTGGCAAAAACTTATAAAATTCTAAAAGCACCGTTGAACATTACTGAAACTAAACTAGCCAGTGAGATCACATTTGTATGTTTTATGTTGTGTAATTTCAAAACTTGCATCATCCCAGAAACAGCATGAATATGTTAACTTCAAGAACATTCTAACCAACTTGTATAAACATGATAAACAAAGTACTAAATAGTGAAATATCATTATTGTATCATACTTAACATACATATATATATCAATCAAATGTGTATTTGTTATATTCCTTGTAAAAAAGCCTTTGTAGAACAGCACTTTTGAAATAATTTTCATAGAATTCTTTTAATTTCTTCACCATGTTGTCAATAAAGAAATCATCACGTTCAATACAAACACTTTTAAAGTCACAAAATGTATATATAACCAAGATGCATTTTTTAGCATTCGTACAGAATAATTGTCCCTGTATTTGGTAAAAATAATCATGGTTGTTGTCTAGTATTAAAAGTCCATCTTTTTCCTTTAAGAATGGCACTGTTTTGGTTGTAATCATCTGATTTCTTACTACAAATGGACATTTAATTTCAAGAAGGGTTTGGTCATCTATGACTGCATCTGGCGATGCCCCAATATATGGATGGCTTGAACTGACAAAAATACCACACTGACTGGTTCCACGGCCACATTCAGATTCATATTTTGCCAGTGCAATTGATTCATATTTTCTACCATGCAATATAGCAGAAGTTTTAATGTCCTTCATAACTGTCAATGAATCAGCTAAATTATTGAAATTAGTTCTATTTGTTGCTTTACAAATACGTCCGAAATTTGAAGCTGTAAGTCTTTTACATCTCTCCTGTTTCCAAATCTTATTTTTAGATTGACCTGTTGTTGAAGATTCAATATATTTTTCTCTATCTTCTGATATGTGTGAAATATTAGCATCTTTTAACCATCTATCTTCTGGATGTCCTTCAAGATAGTCATGATCTGATGCTACAGCATACACATTTGCAGGAGGATACAGTTGGGAAATTGGAAATTTGGAAACACCTCTGTGGTTTAAACAAACATTTCGAAAGTAATCATTATAATTAGCACAATTTCTGTATTTTGCTGGCCGTGGATCAAACTGAACTTCACTTCCCTTTTTGTTTGCCAGGGGTAGACTGTTTGCTTTTATCGGTGAGCCTTTATACGGTTTACTATGGTGGAATGTCTGTAGCCTCTGTGTGCATGTTTCCTCAGATACAATTTCACCGTTGCATGAAAAATTATGCAGTGCTAAAAGAAGGCAGCATACATGCTTGCAGTGTGCAGTAGGTCCCATTCCCACTGCACATTCACATTGGCACTCATCTACACTCCCATTTTCATTTATGGCAACATCTATTTTGTAGGACACTGTCCTTTTCATTTGAGCTCGGCATTCAGATTTAACAAAGAATGTATTATCAAATTTGGCAAGACGAATATATTTTAAAAACTTTTCCTTGTACAAATTTTTGGCATCCGAATCTAGAACCTTATCCATTGGTTTTAGATACACTTCTATAGTTTCCATTTTAAAGTCAACAAATTCAGTTCCACTATTAAAATCTTTGTAAAGGATAGAATCTGGAAGTGTCATTGTGTACTCCTCCCCAACTTCATCCTGATTTCCAAAATCTTTGTTTCTATCGTATGCCTCAAGCCTAAACAAAAACATTTAAAATTTTAGTTCAGAAATTTTCAACTATATATTCATTAGGAAATATTTTTTACTGTCAGACTTTATTGTATCTCATATCATGATTTTAAAGGTTAAGAATTTAGATGAGAGTTTAGTATTCAAAAGATTTAATGTAAATTTAAATAAGAAATGAAAAAAATTATAAATATCTAATTAAATATAAAAGAGTAGATACTTCTATTTACAAAATAATAATTCAAAGATTAAACCTGATAATATTTCTATTTATCAAAAAAAATCAAAGGATAAAATCTGATAATCACCTTTCTATCAATTCATGTTTACGTCCAGAAATCCTTGCTTTCCTCTTTCTTAATTCTTCTTTTAATTGGGGGAGACTCCATGATCCATAATTAGACATTGTGAAGAAAATAAAAAACTGCTTACAAAATAACTTGATAATTATGTGTACACCAGCAAATAGTGGGTAATTGTTTATGAAATAAATATTATATGTGTGTAGACTTGCTATAGATTACTGTAAACAAATGCTTTGGGTTATCAGCAGGAAGCTGATAAGGACCGCATTAAGCTATGCGCCATCTGGATTGATGAGGAGATAAATCTGACTTTGGTTTCTCATTGCACTGTGCAAGATTGGCAATTGTCGTTCAATAGTTTTCCCTGCCTCAAATTTACAATAACTCAAATGAAATTTATAAAGGAAACATAAAAAGTTAAATGATAATGCATATTCATTTACAATATTTTTTTTAAAAAGTTACATCAAGTAGGCAAAATTTAATTAAACATATTTAGATCACGTTTTCACTTGAAGTGTTCATCCTGACATCCGTAATTTTTTAAGGGTATACAAATGATCTGTTGCGTCAAGTTGACAAATTTTTCACCACGGCACCAGTGTGTAATTGCATAAACATTTATTTGCAATCACTTGTAAACCATTAAATATAAAGTTTCAGATGCTTATATTCAATAAACAAATATTAGTTCGGCAATTTGTTGATTTTTGACTCAATTCGCAGCGGTTTGTGCAGCAGTATGACTTTGAGCCAAAATACTTATTTTTTTTTAATATCAAAAATGTTAAATAATTAAAAAGGAAAAAGTAAGAACTAAAATTGATTATTTTTTTATTTAATTAAGTGGACATGGTAGACTTTCAGTTAACATAAACCGTCTTCTTTCTAATTTTTATTTTATTCTTAAAAGGGGAGCAACCCCTGATACACACTGGGAAAGTTTCACCCGTTTTGTGTCCAAATTATTAAAATCTGAACACGACTGAACACGGTCTGACAACCTCTTAACGTAATTTTGTATCCATGGTCTGTTTTGGTCTGACACCGTCGTAACGGATCTTAACAGCTTGCTAGAAGATTCAGTCTTGTTTATCTTGACATGCCTTAACGGACTGATTTACCTGATCAGACTATCGATCGGAACGGCGTCTTAAAGTTCTTAAAAGTCTTGACGTTTTTCTCTAGCGGTAAATCCAGTCGATTAAGATATGATCAGACCAAAATGACCGTTTCAGACTGAAATCGTGCTACTAGTGTATATTTGACATACATGTATAACTTAACTTCGTGAGTATGAATGTAAGCATTTCATGTTAAATTTTAGGCTTTTGACATAAATACACAACTATGTCTTTGGAACATTATAATTGTTCATCATAGCTTCATAACATACATAATTAGCAAAACATGGAAATATAGATAAGATGCCAAATTTTGACGATTGGGACTCAATTTTCAACAGCTACTTTCAACAAACTGTACAATAATTAATATAATTTACATTCATACCCTTTCTTTGGCAAAGAATATCAGTTGGAAAAAATATGAATGTATTCAGTAGTTATATTATATAAATCCAACTTGGCATTAATATTAAAAAATGACTGCATCCAAACTGACTGAGATAACCAATATGCAAGACAGATGATAGTACTCAACTTTTCAGAGAATATTTGAACCAACAATTTGAAGATTGTGTGCACTTAATATTTAAAAACTATGTATGCACTCAAGTTGGCATAGAAATTTAATTTGATTGAAAACAAAAATGAATGCAACAAACTTTGATAAAAATATCCAAATTTCAAAGTTTTATCTTGACTAATAATTATGAATGTGTTAAATTGGTTTGTGATAAATAAGATGATATTGAAAATTAGTTGTGGTTAATGCTAATTTAAAGTGAAGCTACATTTGAATATAGTAATTTGCCAATAAAGATATTTCATTCATCCTGACAAAAAAGTATAGTCTGCTGTTTAGTAACTGCAACATATCTTGCAGACTATTGTTTGAAATTTCAATTCTGTCTAAAAAAAATTGAAATCATTTTTACAATAAAGTTACAAGTCAATGGTTACTGATGAAACTGTATTGATTCCAGATACAACAATGTTACCAGTAAAAGGAATCATTCCCTCAATGTCAGCTTTAATTTCTTAATCGTCTCAAACTATATCAATCATAGCTGCTAGAGGGAACTTGCAGTCTGTGAACAAATCTCCTGCATGCTTTTAGACAATAATACATTCATCTTCCTCTTTGTAGAAACCATCTTCTATGACATCGTGCTGTCCTGATACAAAATATAACGATTACTATTAGATTTTATTAAACTAATGCCTCTTGGCAAGCTGTTTTATTTGACATCTTGTAATTTCACATGTTTCTACAGAAAAGTCAACATAAGATGTGTTGTAATTTCAGACGTGTTGATGTGAATGTTAATGCAATGACTTGGAAAATGGACACAAGCAAATATGTGTTTCAGTTAATGTTGCACATTAATATTGATTTCAAAATCTCTATGACTAGTATCTTTATTTGCGCGACCTATTGTTTTGCAGGTAAATTAATGATTCAAAAAAAAAAATTATATCTGAATTATAGTATTATAATTTTATTTTAACATTTTGGAACTAAGTTGCTAGTATTGGGAAATAATAGGGTTGGACGTGCTCATCTGCCCTGGTGATTTTTTGGCAAAGAAGATGCACACACTCATTAACTATGTAATTATAAATTGGAAATTTTAGATTGTTATTGTTTTCAGTCCTTTTAAAATATATAGAAACAGAGCACATGTTGACTTGTACTAATATTGAACACAGTTGATATGTTTTTCAAGTTTAAGATTGCATGTAAAATTATAAAACATGTACCTCACGAGTGCTTTGCGGTATAGTTTGTAGACTAATTTCTCCTTTGAGTAGATTCAATTTTAGGAATGTAGCTTTGACAGGTTTTCCTACTTTAATACTATTATCTGCTAAGCTTCTCTACAAACTGATTTTAACTTCAGCTGTGTTGTCATTTACATATATTTGACGAATTTTAATGGTCTCTTCTGTCTGTTACTCTTTCTACCATGGCATCAACCTAAATATATTCATCATTGATTATATAATATTTGGTAAATATATTCAAACTTATACATGGTTACTTTTATATTTCCCATTTATATAGACTGGCAATTCATATTTCGTTGATCCAACACATATCTCACCAACTGCAGTGTCAAGGTTTTTATAAAGAAGTGTATTTAAATAGCAGATATTTCAGGACCACTCTCAATATAGCGCCAGGACTGGACTCGGCGTGGGAATGAGATGACATTGGTTTTGATATATCATTTGCACTGAAAGAAATAACATATCACAATAATAGATTGTAATACTTAAGTTGAGCTTGGTCAAATTTTATGTATACACTTGTCAACTGAAAAAAAAAAGATAATTAATTTTATTTATGTGTGGAAAGTGTTCATCTAATTACACGAACATGGTTGAGTTAGAGTAAACAGTTTTTTGTAAATGAACAAATATGATCTGTGTCGCATTTCGAATAAGATATGACGACATCCTGATGTAAACTAGAATATTGTATATCGTTTAACCTTTCAATAATTTTGACAGTTATTGTGACGTTCTCATTCTCATTGTTTTCAAATGATAGGTTTTGCAATTTTCATCGTCATTGATAATACTATCGTTGTGTTTAAGCTGTACGCTCTGCATTTGCAGTGTTTTTTTACAAAGGTCAAATATGTTAGATCAATCAAGTCGCCCTATAAAATGCGATGATATATGCAGACTGATATCCATAATTGTAATAAACGTTTATAAACGTATATCCTTAACTGATGATTTAAGTTGTTCTGCTTCATTCATTATCCTCGATTAAAGATCAGACGAACGATTTTGGGAACTAAACTGTCAAAAATTTAGTTAAAACATTAAAGACTTGCAGAGCGAGGCAAAAAAAGAAGAAGGGATTCAATCCAAACTGGAGATGGTCCAGCTCCTCCAGAAATTGGAAAAAATGAATTGATGATTATTAATTATGTATATATATGGAATATTGATATTAAAGTGTATTTTGCATATATGAATACTTTCCAAATACTTAAAGATTGCTAGATTTCATATAACCCCAACCCTTATCCTAACCCAAAATCTTACCCTAAACCTAACCACTTGCCCTCACCCTACCCTAAACGTAGACGGTAATAGGTGTTTAATTATTAAAGCTACGCAAATTAAAGCAATTACTTTATCAGTGTATATAAAGTGCGAATCCAGTTTGTTCATTTTCATTGTCGTATGAGAGTATGTCTATTGTAGAATAAAGGATGACGGGAAAAACTGCGTTTGTTTACTTTTTGAAAATACGAAATAATTGATTTGAATGTATATTTTAACACAATTTAATTAGAATACAACTTTATAATGTATAATAACAAGATTAAAGTCCAAAAAAGTGTAATTAAAGCAGCTGAATCCATAATATTGTTAACTGGATGCGATGAATTATCACTGTTAGTGCAATCATTTCTGATGTGGAATTTTTGGAGGTGCGATGAATTTTCATTATTGTTTTATATGATAATTCGACATGCAACAACTGAAAATAGTCTTAAAATGACTTCAATATTGATGATATTTACTATGCAAGCTGGTCGTAGATCGTAACTTGAATATAAACGGGTATAACCAACCTAAGGTTGATGCCAGACATTGTGTACTGTTCATCGATATTTTTTCTGTACGTTTGTTTTATGTTTTTTTCGTCATAGTTCTGTACCGTTCAATTTAAGAATTGAATG